ATATAAAACGCTTAATTATATGCTTGATTAGTTGTAGAACCCTTCTGCAAAGTAGTCTCTACAGGAGCTATTTTATGTAAACATCCCTTTAAACCGATCAAAACAACCAAACGTTTCTTCGGTCGATTGATAAGCAAGATGGTATTGAACTTTGTCTTTACTCTAAGTGTTACATATGGAGTTTTCTGCCATCTATGATCATTGTCAGAGCTCTGACTCGTGAGTATTATATAGCAGCAGTGATCAAAGACTGGAACTATGCACCCAGCGGACAAAACTAAATTAAGGGAGTTGCACTCCAAGATGACAGGTACGCTAAGAGTGTGCTTGCAGGAAGTAACTACTACTGCTACAACCTTTAGGGCTTCTCTGATTAGTGCAAAAGCTAACATGCTACTCTTTAATGCTACTGCGCTTCCACATTTATCCTTTTACTAATATATAGATTTAGCCAGGGCTAAAAGCGAGGCTCCCATTAATAAATTCATAATTTAAATCAAACACTAACCTTGTATTCCACAATTCAGTTAACTTTAGAGCACATAATGTGACTTTTCAGGGAAAGGCTGAGTGATTTTAGAGAAAAATAATTTGCAAACAGCCCAGGAGTGAACCAAATCTTACATCGAAGGGATAGCCTCATATCTACACCCAAAAACTGGCAATCGTCTTCGATCACCTTTATTAAGAGCCATAATGGCTCTCGATCACCGTAGGTTAATTAGGCCTGGAAAAAAATTCCGGCCGAATTTTTTGCGTTGGACAAGTTTACTTTACAAAATCTTGCCAACAAGTCTGGGTGTGTGTAAACCAACCTTATATATCATTTATACATCACATCTGAGGTGAAACAGTACTATGAGGCACTGTTTTTATCATACAGACCTCGGACAACAGAATGCGGTATTTCACAATTTTGCAATACAAATTGCTATCATTCAGGGGCACCCAACGCCAATTTTCGGAAAATATCTGTTCGGAAGACGATCTGAGATCTAGAATTTTCGGAACCTTTGTTGTAAAATTTCTTGCTGCCTGCCTCTCCCAGGATTTTCGAACATCTTAAAAATGGTATAATTGGTCATTTTTAACGGATTTATACCCTACAAAGGTCACCTAGAATTTTCGGGAGCCTTTTTTCTGGCTGAAATTTTCAAAAAGGTAAGTTTTGATCCCTATAATTTTCGGGTCACTAGATTTTCAACTAGCAAATCCGAACAGATGAAAAATTTTTAGGGGATGAAAATATGCCTATATCTACCGTTTAAATACTAAAATACGTTCAACAATGCTTTGTTAAGTGGTTTTGAACTATATTCTCTTTGGGTGCCCCTCATCATTCAATATTAAGGACGATCGAAGCAACGCGTGGGCTTTAGCTAAAGCGTTAAAAAAAATTCCAAAATCACCTATACGGCCAGCCGGTTCTGACTTTTGCAGTACTAGCTGTGGCGAGTGTTTGAATGAACATTAACACAGTTACGCTCCTACATAATAAAGAATTTATTATGTTTATCTTTTTATTTTAAAATGTTTTAACGCGCGGCATTTTGATTACTCCGGGAAACGTTGTTTATTGAACGACTGAAAACAATCGGCACAGCGATTAAAATTACAAGAGAGATTACTAACAATCAATAAAAGAAATTTAATGCGGTGAAACATATACAGAGACAACAATTTTCATTCAGGAAGACAAGTATTAAAGGTGTCTCTAAAAATCCTGAGTCTTAAAGCTTAAAGCTAAGTTTATGTTTTAAGCCGGCTTCCCGGTGTTTGCTTTTTTCAAAGACAAACTCGAGGTAAGAAAATCGCTCAAAGCCTCTTTTACAGCCAGAATTATAACTAAATATTCTTTGGAACGTGTTCTTTCTATTTGCGGTGAGAAAATGTCTAACGGCTTTTTAAAGATCTGTAAGCTGCATGATACTCGGTCAGATCATTGTCTCAAATCTTACAAACGTGCGTGAAAAAAAAGCCGCATAAACTACGCTCGAATTCATTAAATTAGAAATAAAAAACAAACTTCAAATGCAATAATTACTCAGGCTTACCACTTGAGATGCAGCTCCTGAAAGGTATCAAGTAAGGCCAGTATCGCTTCAGACTTTGCAACCCTCTTACGCATTAAGCAAGGTTAAAACGAAAACGATGCCGTCCGAAATCGGATTTCCAACTTTGATAAGTGACGTATTTCTCAACCAAAAACCCAATAAACAAACTAGCCATGAATAACAGAAGACTCCTGATAGCAGCTGAATTTCATTTTGTGCATCCAGTGGAAAAAGACGGTTAAAAACATAACAAGTTGACACAAAACCCTGTCGGCTTCAGCTGTCAAAGTAAACAAGATTCAAGATGCTGCATAAATTTTCCGCATGAACTCACCTGTCAAATTTTGACCAATCAGAGCATAAAAACTGGACTAGAGCGTGACCAACGCGTGAACATGGTGAGAAAAGTCAAAAGTAACTGTCTTCCCTGCCTATAGGAGCTGGCTGAATTTTCGCGTCCGAGGTCAGTTTGAAATCAAAATGTTAATTGTGCGGCACATGAACACAACATATTTCATATGAATTTTTTAAAAAAAATTAAACTTGAGCCTGCGATCATTTGAAAACCGGTACCTTGTCAGCGGATAACTTCAAAACAATACTTGACCTCGATGGGTCGACACCTGATCTCGCGATACGGCCAAGTGCTACTGGTCAGCAGATACCTTGTTTTGACAGCTGTCAACTGATCACAACATTGATGTCCAATATGTGTATCAGTTTTCCTGTGCTCCGATCCCAAACTAGCTAAAAAGTATGAGATTGAACGATTGAACAGGATTGAACATTGTTCGCGATCTAGTTAAACAATTAACTGGCCAGCGGACAGCTTCGAAATAAATCACGTCACCTCGATGAGTTGACACATGAGCCCGCGATATGGTCATGGGATGCTGGTCAGTGGCTATCCTGTTTTGACAGCTGTCAATTGACCATTTTGTGAATGTCCTATATAAAAGATCAGGACTTGCCAAGACACGCCTGAGACACCCCTCCCTTCCTTTTAATAGTCTCCCCTACCCTGCCTTTACAATCCGTAGACGCGTGGAGACGCGTACTTACGCTCGGTCAATCACGTGACAACCAAACGAAAAGAGGTTGACCATATTCCATGAGTATGGGGCTCTGTCCCACGCGCACTTCGCGCGCGGGGGAGCCCCGCTAATACTCAATGAGCTCCCGCTTACTGCTAATTAGACTATACCGTAGTTTAATTTGCTGCTATTCTGCTCTCTTGTTTTCTGCCATCTTTTCAGCAGCACGATGATGCGATCATTGCTTCTAAAAACAGTGATACATCGGTTTATATAGTCCGATGATTAGGAATGTTCAGTGCCGTGCAAAATCCTGTTTGCACACCAACTGAAATATATTAATATACAAAAACTCACAACATTTGTTTAATTTTTCAACAGAAATATTTCGCAAAGCTAACGAAAAGATTAAAGCAACATTGCACATATAAGCTTTGTTGAAAAGATTACAAACTAGGAATAAAACGATTGAAGTACACGATCGGGGGCCTTAATGGATCAATACGCGATTAACCGATTGATCACGATTGAACAGTCTAAAGATTGCCTGTCAGCTTCAGTGTTGTCGTTGTTGTGGTGGTGATGGTGGTTTTTGTTGTTGTTGTTGTTGTTGTTGTTGTTGTTGTTGTTGTTGTTGTTGGGTTTGTGTTGTCTTTCTTGGTCTGGTATTTTGATGTTTTAATTAACAATTAATGAATGAGGCTGAGTATATTATGAGGAATTATGGAGATCGAGGAGGGTGTTATCCGTCGAGGCCGTAGGCCGAGGCGGATAACATCCTCCGAGATCTCCATAATTCTACATGTCATACGAAAGCCGAATTCAATAATTGTTTTATTATTCATTCAAAATAATTCCTAGTTTAAATACATAGCTAAAACATGCTTACCTGCATCGATGTTAAGTTTATCTTCGATAGTGTACGTTTAGGTTTGTCCAGCTCCGCAAATATTCTCCAAATGGCAAAATCGCCCTCCGAGTTTTTTTGCTACGTTTTTGGCAATTATTTCGCTTAGTTCCAGCTGTAGTTCTTACTCTCAAAACGAGTGAAGTGTCCGTCATTTTAGTTTTCACAACGAAAACAACTCAACCTCGTCCCCAGGTCTTCTCGGTTAACGGTGCATTAACTTGTAGAAGGCTGCATTTTTGACGTCATTTCCTCGTTAAACACAAACTTCTTCCAAATTTGGTCATCAGTAACTGGTTAAGGTGAATTATGCGTGTGCTTTTAGCCAACCAGAATTGGGGAAATATTTTGAATGAATAATAATTTGGCTTATTTGAAACCTGTTGGTTGAATTGATCTAAAGAAACTTTAATCATTTTAATTGGTCAGTTTGCTGCTACCAATGATTCCTTTAGTTGCTTAAAGCCGCATTAGATTTCGCCACTTTATAGTCATAAGTCATAAAATAGAAGTAAAGTTTAGCGTTTTTTCAACTCAATTCTTTATGACATTATATGTCCAGATAACGCAAATTGCTTCAAATAATCGTTAAAGGTTCCTTAGTTTGGTTTACGATCTTGTGCTAAACATTCTGGAGACCGCAAAAGTCGATGGAGTAAACACCAATTAATCGTAATTTTTGTAGTGCTTTATTTTCTAGGTGGTTATTTTTAGGAGAGCTTTAATTCATGATTATATTCCATCAGCTATCAGACATAAATAATGATTTTTGCTCCATGGTCTTTAGGCACATATTGAGCTCAGTGTTTTCTAAAAACGCTGTCCACTTTTGGCTGTTTAATTAATTTACTAAGTTCTTCGATACCGGCTAGTTGGTATGTAATATTGAAATAAAGAGCATTAAATTCGTTTTTTTGCTGAAGTTCATAATGTCCTCAAGCTAGAACCTCCTAAGAAATCTGCTAAATCAGAATCATTTTGTTTATTTATTTTATTTTATTTTGTTTTTTTCATAGCCAAGCACGACCTTTCAGTCAGCGTGGCGTAAGCCGAGTGGCAACCCTGTACAAAAAGGTGCTGTATCGCGAGTTCACAGACGGTTCCTTTACTCAGGAAAAGCCCCATCCAGCACACCTCGGTGTTTTGGGTCCAGTAATCAAGGGCGAAGTGGGAGACGTGGTCAAGATACATTTCAAGAACAAGGCTAATAGGGCTTTCACGGTTCACTCCCATGGAATATTCTACAACAAAAGCGATGAAGGGGCCCTTTATGCAGATCACAGCAGTGATGATCAGAAAAGAGACGATCTAGTGGAACCTAATAAAACTCATCTTTACACATGGATAGTAACCGAGGAACACGCTCCAACCGAAGGGGACGGCGACTGTGTCATAAGAATGTACCATTCTCACGTGATGTCCGTGAATGATATAAACACAGGCTTGATAGGTATTTCTGGTTGAATTTAGCTATACATTTTCACAAAATTTTTAACAATCAGTTGTCTGAAAAATACGTATTTATATTTAAAAAGCGACGCACAATAGTACACTATCACTAATGAGGTATAGACCAGGGGCACCCAAAGACTATGTTCTGTAAAATATCTGTCCGGAGAAGCAAATATTGTCCAGAATTTTCTATTGCTTGAGGACGGCTTTAAATTTCCAGATGACCGTTCCATTCATGTCCAACGTTCGAAACCTATCTAATAAATTCCCTACGATTTTCTGAGCTTAATTTTTCACATTTCACTCCCCTAGTAATGCTGTTTTTTCGTAGAAAAAGGAAACCTAAAATTTTCGGACTCAAAAACGTGATTGAGGTAGGAATCAGAAAAACTCTCAATTTCGCAAAGCGATAAACAGCATCTAAAACTTAATGAAGCCCTCAAAATTTCGAAAAGACTCAAAGTGCCCTAGGATGATCGAACGGTTACAAAGTTTATAGCGCCGATTAGAATGTATTTCTAAATCGTCGTTGGGTGCTCCTGATAGATACCCATATCCTGTCTGAGAAAGGCTCAACTCGAAGTGGTCCGTGAGAACGAATGGGACTGAAATCATTGCCCACCTCATCTGGCTTATAACAAATCTTCGAACCAATACCTGAATTCAAGGGTAATACCCTTCCGAGAGTTATTTTTTCCTGTCATAAATTAGCTTCGATTTCGCGGCAAAACTCGTCCATTGAGGCTAATAGTAGGCGCAGTGGCTAAACTGTTTCGGTCGAGGTGGGGGAAATTGTGGAAGAAACTCAACTGTTGTGCGAAAAAGAAATAACCGAACTACTACCTAAGGCACAAAAAGAATTGCAAGAATCGCTTAATCTATTTGAAGAATGAATGCTATAATCTGCCGAGAACCAAGCCAACGGCTGTAAAACAGAAGTGTGTAACTGGGCCCTCGATCCGTATAATCTTTCACATCATACTCAGCCTTGTCCAATAATTGTTAATTAGAAAATCGCTTGGTGTTTTTCCACAGGCCCACTACTGATCTGCAAACGAGGAGCTTTAATGGAAAATAGCGTTAAGAGAAAATACGTCGACAAAGAATTTTTTCTTCTCATCACCGAGATGGACGAGAACAAGAGCTGGCTCCTGGATGACAATATTCAAACCTATTTTACTAATCCCGAGGAGGCAATGGCAAATAAATTTGATCCGAGATTTAAGGCAAGTAACAAGATGGCATCCATTAATGGCTACATCTATGGCAACCTACCTGGGCTGGATATGTGTCACGGTGATACGGTCAGTTGGCACATAATAGGTGTTGGAGAGTTCAGTGATGTACACAATCGTAAGTATCCTACGCGTCATCCCACCACTAAAGTCCCATAAATATCACCCAATGTAAGGGAATCCAAGACACTGAGTCTTCTGTAATCCAGTACTTCCAAAGACTGAACTCTGGATTTTTTGTCGGTGGAGCTTGGATTCCGATTCCAATTCCGGATTGCGAATTCTTTGAGCTGCTTTCCGGATTCCAAAGACTAGGATTTAGCATTGCAAAAGCAAACATTTTCCGGATTCTGAATCCGGAAAATATTTGCCCCTTCTTGGGCAAATTTTAGGTCTTTCTTAGGCGTTATTCTCTAAGTAATTCATGTAAAAGTATTTTCAACATCATGCAATTACTGTCCCTAAAATATGTGACAGTGTAAAACTCGTCATCTTCTGTAATATATCAGATTTTGCCAGACTATATTGTCATAATTGTATTATGGTTTAACTGGCAACAGCATGTTAAGGACCTTTGAACATCAAGAACATAAAACTATAGAACTAAGATAGGTGTGTTCATTCAGAAGATGTAACTTTTTGAAATATTAACCCCCTGCGTCTTTGTCACTAAAAATAACTTGAAGTGATTATTTGGAGAATAAGTCCTAAACTTAGCCTGCATCTACTTTGTTTACTAATTAAACGGTAAAAAAAGCGTCAGATCAGTATCACCTCAGTTCCTGTTTATACCATCTTGTTGGCAACAGCAGAACCTCCACAGCTATCGCTGCTGCAACAGACATGTAGCCTTAATTGCCTTCTCATAGTCATTGATGAGAAGGCAAAACCCGAGGGGCAACCTCATCTCCAGAGCTTTTCCCATAGAAAAATAATGGGGCCCCCCTCCAATATTTTAGGCAGGAAGTTGCGGAAAAGGATATCAATTCAAACGGTCTCTATACATTGAACAGCCAGCAGTGGTATTGAGTCCTCCCAACATTGCTTTGAGACATTGACAAGAGAAGAGATTCAAATCGTGTTTACTCTGTCTTAACATTTCTGCTGTTCTGTAATGTCGAAGCCTTTTGTACAGCATTTTAAACTTTGTCCCGTCGTATTCTACATTGCTTTTATCTTGTGCTAAAAAATCTGCCCAATCATTGTTGTTATAATGTTGTGACTCTTTCGCCCCTCATTGGTCCAAATGTTGAGACAATATTGACATCATTTTAAATAGGTTTTAAACTTAAAGACCATAGATCTGATTCTGAAGTGACAAGAATTGTTGATCCCTTTCTTACCGTATAATCTGAAAAATAAACTCTGTTTACTCTATTAAAAGCTTCGTTCCATGGGCACACAGTCAAGATCAACTCCCATCGCCGAGACACAGCAATAGTGCTTCCAGCCACTTTCTTGACAGCCTACATGAAGGCGTGGAATCCAGGAACTTGGTTACTGAATTGCATGAACAGCCACTTCTTTGATAAAGGAATGTCGGCGCTCTTTTATGTCAAGAAGTGCGAGAAGAATGTTGCCATGCCAACCGTCAGTGGTAATAGAACAAAAATGTACTACATAGCCGCGGATGAGGTTATGTGGGATTATGGACCATCTGGTGTTAATAAAATGGACGGAAAATCGCTTACTTCACCTGGAAGGTAACAACTTGAAAAATAAAGCCCTTTTTTTAGAAAGAAAGACTAAATATTCATTACCTAGGTGAAACCTAAAACAAATGTACTAGTTAATATGGGGCGATTTCCGTTTAAAAAAAATTTCGGAAATTCCACGTGCCCAGCGGACCCGATCGACCCAAGCCACCGCGCGTTTAATTATTGTTTTCTTGTACATTTAAGCCGGATACAGTAAAGCAGTACTAGGGACAACAATTTTGTCAAATAGAAAGGAACATTACGGTCCGACGTGACCGGTGAAAGTGGACCACCTTCAAGATGCGTGCTTCCAGATATTCAGGTCAGACCCAGCCGGAATGGTCCGTTCCCCATTTTTTTCCTGAATGATGGGCTGAATGGAGAGCGTACATAGTTTGCCGAGAGATAATGGCATGAAACTCTTACTCACTTAGAACAGCAGGATTTCTCAGACTGATGATTGCTTGCTTTGCAGTGATTCTGCTAAATACTTCACCCGTGCTGATAACAGAATTGGAGATAGATACAAAAAAGCTATCTTTGTCGAATACACAGACAGAAATTTCACTACTAAAGTAAATCGAACAGCTAGTGAAGAGCATTTGGGATTGCTAGGGCCTACCATTCGAGCGGAAGTTGGCGATGAAATCCAGGTGCTCTTTAAAAATCAGGTAAGCAACTTTGTAATGAAAGTTAAAACTGTCGTTTCAAAATAATGTATGGCGTCTCCGTATGAAAGTAGTATATGGTGAACCGAAATATCCCTTTTTGTTTTGTTTTCTAGCTGCGAGATGAAGTCGTTTCGACAACAAACACAAAAAAAATCAGCAGTTTAATTTCATAATTTGTCAGCAATAAAATGTTCCAATCTCAAGCATGTTAAGGCATGGCCCGTCCTTTGCTCTTAGACACTCCGCGAAGACAACTACTCTTGCTAGCAGACGCACTGTTCTTTTGATCGTAACCACCACTAAGTCAGCAGAAAAATTTTTGTCGTCTTTAAACCTTCTGAGGGTTAACAACAGAGGTCACATGTCCGATGACGTCATAAATAAGGAAAAAGTGATGTCTGAAACTGGCAATGACTTGTTGGGGAAGCCAAATTCACAAGCACGCTGCATTTAAGTATAGATGCCTAGATAGAACCTGTGCCCCGAATGGAGAAAAATCGTATTTCATGAAAGAGTAATTCATTTATTAAAGAGGTCACGTGGCCTATTTTTTGAAAATTACTCTTAAACGGTAAAATGAATTCGGTCATTCAAGACAGATTCTTTAAGGGGGTAACCATTGAAATATGTTGGCGTTTCAACATTTACCCGTTATATGTCATCTCGGCGGCCCATTTTCGCTTTTCACGTAAGAAAACTGTTACAGATGTCCACATGACGCAAAAAGTCAGAACTTAAGGTAAACAATAATTTAACGACATCACGTTTTATGTTATTACCAAGTTTGATGCTGTTAAGGTATATCTTGTTATGCAAATTAGGTTCTGGGTGATGCCTTAACATGCTTAAGATCAATTCAAATCATCTTATAAGGTCATTGCTCACGTCGACCTTCTCTCTCCTTCCCTCCCCCCTCCCCCCCCTCTCTCCCTCTCTTTAACAGGGGAGTCGCAATTACAGTATGCATCCACTTGGTGTCTTCTACGATAAAGCAAACGAAGGAGCTGGCTACAAAGGCACATCCGGGAATGATACTACTGCTGGTGATGCAGTTATGCCCAATCAAACATTCCTCTATAGATGGACTGTACCAGAGGCTGTAGCCCCAACGGACGAAGATCCTCCATGTATCACATGGATGTATTATTCCAGTGTTGACTCAACTAAAGACGTACATAGTGGTAGGTAGAATGGTTTGAGATATAGAGGGATTACAACTCATAATCTATGTCTGATTTCCTCAAAGACGAACAAAGCATTGAATTTTTCATTCCTTTAGTTTAAATTTGTCAAATTCGGTCAATTAATTTCAATAATTTTATAATTTCCCACGTATTTTTGATGTTAGCTTCCTTTCACATTCTACATTGATCAATATGTAACTGTCACTGATTAAAACGGGAGGTAGCTGGTGTGTTTTTTAATACAACAAATACTTGATCTGCGTATTTACCGTAGATAAGAAAAAATCGACCAATAACTTACACTTCGAAAAGCACGCATAATAACCTGGTATAACAAAGGTTTTTTCCTCGCTGTGTGGAAGGCAAAGTAATTCATTTTAATCGGGGAGGCAATCTTCCTTTCCGAGTTCTTTGGAACTACTAAGCAATATATGCTAGTCGTGTAATATGGCCATCAATAGAATATCAAATTAAATTCGTTTCTTCTTTCGTGCATTCATTCAGTTAGGCTTTGTTTGGTTGTCTGTTTTTGTCTGTTATGTTTTTAATGTTTCATATTTTTCAAGTTATTCATTTGTAGACCCGAAACTCAAGGATTCAACTTCTGCTCAATGCTCGTAAACTGTGTGGGTGTTTGCCAACTTAGACCTTTAGTCAAATTAAAATTGGACAAAAGCCAGCATTCTCAGCTATAAACTGCATCAACAGCCATGTTAATGATCATAATTTTACCTCTCTTAAAGGGCTCATCGGATGTCTGATTGTGTGTAAAAAAGGAACGCTGGAGGAAAATAGGCCATGGAAAAGGAAGGACGTCGATCACGAGTTTTGCTTGCGCTTTGCTTTAACCGACGAAGGACTTTCTTGGTACTTCAATGAAAATAAGAACCTTGCGGGGAACGCTTCTACGATAGACGCTAGTAAGTGCGTCGTTTTCAGTCAAAGTATAAACCGTACAATTATCTATTGAGTTCGAGATACCTAATCCACTAAAAATTGGGTTCAGTTAATCTATCGACTTAGCCAACGCTAAAGGCGAAGCTCCCGTTAATAAATTTACAATTTACTTCAAACAATAAACTTGTAACCATTAAAAACAAATCCACTTGGCGATCAGTTGAAAACTAGAAACTTGCCTGCGGAGAACTTCAAATAACCTCGATGGGTCGACACTTGGGCCTACTGGTCAGCGGATACTCAGCTTTGACAGCTGTCAATTGACCTCAACATAAATGCACAATATCACGTTGCAGGCTCTCGCACTAGCTTGAAAGTGTGACCTTAGACCTTAGTTTCCCTGTGGCCAACACGGAAGGAAGGATGGGCGGAAGTACGGTCACGCGAATAATGGATCAGATAACCAAAGTTTCTTAGCCATGGGGCTAAGTTTGTGCGTGCAGGATATTACTGTTTGAGGTCAATTATGTGCTATAGTCATTACTAAGAGCCTTTACCCATATAACACAAAATGATCCCGTAGAGTTATGAAGAATTCGAAGGTGTGACTATCAAACAAATTTCATCAGGGAACAATGATCATAAGAATTTGTTTGGTGATTTTGGTAGGAATAACATTATTACAAGTTGGAAAAGTTGGCCCGACATTTTCAACCCATTTCCATCTTTGCCTTCAAAGATGGAAATAGGACAGTTTCAAAGCCTGGATATAGTCTTAAATAACAAAACTGGGCTACTATTTTTGGAAATCATTTGATGCGAAGACAGGTCAGTTATTTTTTTTTCAAAAGTGAGGGCAAATAGCCCTTTAAGTATCACAATTTACAGTATCCATTCCCAGTGCAATAAACGTTGCTTTTCTTAATTTTTCTTGACTCTTTAAGATGACGCGGGATTCAAGGAAAGCAACAAAATGCGCAATATCAACGGCTTCATGTATGGAAATTTACCTGGTTTGCGCATGTGCAAAGGTGATGACGTTTCGTGGCATTTCTTGGGTGGTCCTGCGGGGAAGATGCACAGCGCTTACTTTTATGGCAACACTCTGATAAGGAATGGAAATAACTATGACACAGTGGGACTAATGGAAGGTATAGTTTTTGTACTTTATTTGTGCATAGTTCTTTATTTCTTGCATTACTTCAGCTATTCCCTTTTTAAACCAAATAGCCTCGTTTCCAGGCAAATATACCATCGATCAACGTCGTTTCCAATGAAATATACCATTGAATCGATGTTGCATTGCTTGCATTATCCGAATTTAATTAACGCTGCCTGGTTAGAAAGAATTTGCCGGGGGATTGGGTGCGTGCTAGCTCCAACTCTTTTCTCCCTCTACTTCACAGCTGTACTGGAGACTACGAACGAAGGGCTCAATAGGGGCGTTTTCATTCGCATAAGGACAGATTGTAAACTGTTCAACCTTGCCTGGCTTCGTGCCCACACGAAAACACTAAAGATGTGTATCAGAGAACTGCTTTATGCTGATGACTCAGCCCTTGTGGCCAACAACGCAGACCCGGAAGTGGAAAGGAGAATCCAATCCGCCACAAGGGCCTATGATGCGCTACAAAAGAGACTCTGGAGCTGTAATGGCATCAGCACAAAAACCAAAGTGAAGGTTTACTCAGTTGCAGTCATCCCTTGCCTGCTCTATTCCATCGAGTGCACCACTGTTTACCGCAGGCACATTATGGCTCTGACAAGTCTCCAGCTTCGCCACCTACGCTGTCCGACATCCTCAACATCAAGTAGCAAGACCGTATCTCAGACGTTGAGGTACTGCGCCGTGCTCACACAGTCAGTGTTGAAGCCCTAATAAACGTGTCACAGCTTCGCTGGGCAGGACATGTACGTCAGATGGCCAATAGCAGGCTGCCAAAAGCTGTGTTCTACTCGCAACTACGCCAAGGTAAAAGAAGCCATGAAGGACAAAAATTGCGTTACAAAGATTTATTGAAGCGGCATATGAAGGAAACAGGCATCTCGCGTGATACCTGGGAGAAGGATGCAGTCTAGAGAGTCAAATGGTGAGGACCGTTGAGGAAGGCCACGTCAGCACGTCAGCTGTTGAGGAAGATCAGCATCAGCGCCAGAAGGAATATCAGCGTGCACATGTCCGACGACACTAGGCAGCTACCTCCAGCAGTTTCCAATGCAACAATTGTCAGCGTTACTGCAGATCCCGAGGGGGTCTGACTGCCCACGCGAGAACCTGTTTAAGATAGGCCTCAACTCAATTACAAGACAGTCATCTTAGGTAACGAGGGACAGCCATTTTCTTCCCTGGCATTTCAAGAAATTTTAAAAGCGGCTTAAACGTTCATTGTGTCATGACAAGTTAATTGTTAGTTGTAGCATTTACTTTTTGTTTTTTACATTAACTTACCAAGAATTTAATTTTATTTATAACAGGTTCCTTAGCAACAATGCACATGACCCCCGATAACCCTGGAGAGTGGAAATTAGCTGATCGGACTAATAGTAACTTAGAAGGAGGAACAACTGCCAAGTACACGGTATTGAAGGATTGTGGGAATGCTTCTTCTGACCAACCAATGAGTGGGCGGAAGAGATGGTATTACATTGCAGCCGTGGAAGAAACGTGGAACTACGCGCCAACTGGAAAGGATTTAATCGAAGGGGTCGAGCTTAAGGATAGCCCGTACGTTTTTTTTTTAGCAAGTTTAACTAATACCAGGCTAATAAAACTGCGTGTGAGCCGCTAGTTTTATCAAGTTAAGAATGATATGAATACAACTTCTTTAGGAAAGACGTGTTTCTCCCAACCACTAAATGGAATCTGTGTAAGTAGATGATCTCAGCCTGTATATTCTACAGAAACAAGCGGAAGAGCAGATTTGGGGGACTAACTAGAGAGGCCTGAGCTTAAGTAACAGGAGGGCGAAGTTCACTAAATTGCGTCCTTTAATTTATTCTTGCTCGTCAAAAGTGAGAAACCAAATTTGGCTTAAACAAAGTCTACGTGTGCACAGCTACCTTCGCAGGATTAAGATCAACTTTCGCGGCTTACAAGGAGTGGAAATGATGAGCAGTATAAAAGTTTATTGGTTCAGTTACGCTGTAATTAATCAGAATGATATCCTTGAGTACGGGTATTTCCTTCAAGTTGGCGGCAAATCTTTGAATAAAAGCTTGAAAGAATGAAATTTCTTCGGATATAAATTTGTTACGATTGCGTTTTAATTGAAGGATATCGAACTAGGACTAAAAGGTGCTATGGAAAGCTTTCCTTCCTTTAATCTGCAATAGGTAGCTGGTTGAGAATTGCTTGTTTGAGTCAAATGACTACACATAGTTTTAAGTACGGAACCAAGCTTTCCGCGGCGTAGGTCAAATAACACTGATCTATTTGGTGCCAGATTGTAAATGTGCCATGATTAAGTAAACACTCCGCTTAGCTTTGAAGCTGTATGACTGGTCGGCTCTACGTATTATGCAGTTACACTTTATTTTAGTAAATACTTTCCTATATATCTTTCACCAATGAAATAAAGACTTGTTAGTTCTTCCAGCCTGTTCCAAAATTCATTCCACCCGACTATAAAAAACGTTTTTCCGCAGACATGCTGCTCGTTACACACTACCAGGTGATCGTTTTCTTGGTGGGATACTCAAGAAGGCAATTTATCGGGAATACACAGATGCTACGTTCACTCAGCAGAAGCAAAGAAACAAAGAAGAGGAGCATTTGGGAATCATGGGACCAATGATCAAAGCTGAAGTGGGTGACACCATTGAAGTTATCTTTAAGAACTTGGCGTCCAGAGAATATTCCATTCATCCTCATGGACTCTTTTACAGGTAAAACCGAGCGTTCCTATGAAGGAGTCACAGCAATTTAAAATAGGAGGAATGAAATCACAGGAACCACACAATCTGTTTGTGTAACCGATTGTAATGTGATAGAAAACTAAATCAACCGTTAATTCGCTTAATATGTGCATGGATCAATGCTAAATAAACGTTTTATAACCTTACCTACGGCCAGTATGCCTCAAAAGAGGCATTTTGAATGATTTGCAAGAATTTGAGTTCGCCGTTTGCTGTTCCTCTTAATAGCAGGACGAACTCAAAATCCTTCAAAATCGCTAAAAAAACTCCTCTTCTGAGGCAAAAAGGCGACAATAATCCCACACCAAACACTACCTTAAGTTTGTTTAATCTGCAGATAATCGTTAAATACTGATTGTTGCGAGAGAAATTTGTTACTTTTCCACTCCTTAACAAATCAAACAATTGCAACTGGGTAATGGAGGACGTATTTGTTACGGAGGACGAGCAAGTTTTGACTGTTCAAAGAGAAAAGAGAGAGGCGGGGGACCGACCGCTTAAAAAAAGAAAGGGCTAGGCTTAAACATTGGAGGGCAATTATTAAAGAAATTTCTGCATTTTTTGTTTCAATTCTTTAGCAAACAAGACGAAGGGTCTCCTTATAAGGATAACACCACTGGCGCTGATTTAGTTGACAACGCAATTGCTCCAGGAAAGATTCACAACTACGTCTGGGAAGTACCTACAAGGGCTGGGCCTGGACCTAATGACACTGATTGTTTGACATGGGGGTACTATTCAGATGTTAACCCAGTTAAAGACACCAACACTGGACTGGTAGGCGCGCTGGTCATTTGCAGAAAGGTAACTCTTATTAGCAGGTATTAGCTGAGGCTGACCACCTCGTCGACCTGCATAGTTTTTCATATCATATAAATCTTATGCATTTAAAATATTTCCAACTTCAAAGCATGCTCGCCTCTATGTAAAGTTAATAAGTTCTCGAACATTTGCCTGTCATGTTCCGAGTGGTATTTGTATGTATTCTTGCTATGTTTTGAGGCACTTTTTTGGCTATTCAATTTCATAGGAATCTTCTTCCATTTTCTCTAAATCACCAAAACAGCTCACGCGACCGGGCTATGTCGCTTTTTCTATCGATTATCATTACAGTTGATGTCACAGTATTGCCAAATTGGCACATTTCTTCCAAAGCCAGTCATGAAGTATTGGGGCATTTAAGACGGCTAGATGGGGTCTTTCAGGGTCAATACCTACCAATAGACCTTTTTACCGATACGGCGGCCATATTGGATTTATTAGATTTAAGGAGTATAACGGTATGCCCAGGGGGCACTCGCTTAGTATTTACGCTCGCTTTTCGGGCAAAAAGAGAATTTCATTGTATATTTCTCGGGAAAAAGGTGATCATTATTACATCTAAACACGGCACGACGATCTTTTTTCCCATTACAATCTTTTTATTGGAAAACTTAAAGAAAATTGGCCCGAAAAGAGCGCTTAATTATACTGAGCGAGTATATCGGATCCTGCTCATGCCCGAAGCAAAAACCTCGCAGATTACTTTTGACGTGTGTTTGATTGGCCAGGGAGGTTAAAACTAAAAATAACCTTTTTTTTTCAAGGGAACTCTAGACGATCATGGAAAAGTGAAGGGTGTTGACAGGGAGTTTGCAACATTGTTTACCGTATTTGATGAGAGCCGCAACTGGTACGTGGGAGAAAACGTTGAAAATTATCTCACGGACAAGAATCCACCTCCGCTTAACCAACTTGTTAGCATCTTTGACTTCTGGGAGAGCAACTTGAAGGCTGCCATTAATGGCTATGTGTTTGGAAATGTCCCGGGTTTTACCATGTACAAAGGCGAGAAAGTTGTGTGGTATCTCCTACAAGTTGGTGGTATGACAGAAATGCACACGGTTCATTTCCACGGCCAAAGTATCTTATATGTAAGTACATGGTCTTAGCCGATCAGATGGCTGCGGGTCTCAGTATTTTACAATTCTTTTATTAAGTACAAAATGATTGGTGACGACTTGAAAATCGGAAATTCCATAAGCAGCCTTTTTCCTAAACATTTTTTGACAGTGGCGCACAAAGTTTGGACGAATTTGCCTTTTTTGGAAGTTTTTAATTCCGCCACGCACTCTGCGCTCTGGTAAATTTGTTACCATAAGACTCTCTGTAACACTCTGGTAGGAGGTAAGTATACAGTTTAATAGTTTTGATACATCGACAACAATTTTCCATGGTCTGTACTCTTAACGACCACCTCCACCTGTTCAAAACTCAAGTGTGGAACCACGAACCGGGGGCCGAGTGATTTCACTTCAAAGTTTTGATCATTTTGACGTCGTTTCTATTGTTGCCGATTTATTTTTTTTACAATAACATTGAAAGTTTCGACGTCCATTTCCGTTGAAGTTTCTCAAAAAATTAAGCGCACGAAAAAGCGAAAAACAAACTGCGCCACCATCACATCACTTCCATGGTCTGTACTTATCGAGCTATTCAGCTAGCAAGAAATCACTCAGTTATTGTAAAACTAAGTAAACTGCCTTTGGCTATCCTAGGGGTCAATTATTATTTTCCCAGTTTCCATGGCTACCAGATGCAGTCACCTGCACAAAAATTCCAAAAGGGGTCTAAACCATCGCCTTGTAAAATGGCATGCTGAAGTAATTCAATCTGCTCTCCAGGATGAGTGCATTCCTAAATGATGCACGATTTGCCGTTTTTTAATCATCCTCTTGCGTCATCTTCCAACAAAATAGTGCTATAAACTGAAATAATCGCTCACAGATCTCTTTCCCATTAAAAATCTTTTAAGAGAGTATCAACCATCACTAAGTTATGCACCTTTAATTAACGTAAGTCGCTACATTTGGATTCGTTGCCACACATCTTTTCATTGGTGTGATTGGACATTTTGTAATGATCTTGCGTCATCTATAACTTCTAAGTCGTCGGCAATTGTGTGCGGACTATTGACTCATATTCTACAACACTTTTCAGAAATCGCAGACCTATCATCGTAACGATGTCTACGATTTGCTGCCAGAATCCTTTGCGACCGTTGAGATGATACCTGATGCAGTTGGAACCTGGATGCTTCACTGTCACGTGGACGTTCACTTGGATGGTGGGATGAAAACTCTGTTCACAGTTTTGGCTCCAACAAGTGAGTTTGTAAAGCAAACCATTGCAATGCTTTGAGAAAATCTCTTAACCCTTTCACATCTCAACCGCTTGTTTAGCCAGACATCGTCTCCACTATATAATGACATAATAAGTTTTATTGCGCAAAGATTACTTAACCTGTGCAGGTTAAAAACAAGAGAACGGAAGGGGTTTCCTCTACCTTCGCTTGTTCGAACCCTTCCCGCATTATATTTGCGTGATTTGGTCAAACAGCTAGGTCAAAGGTGTTAATTTAAATCGTGTTCCACTATCAAAATGTTACCTGGAAGTAATTTACAGGATCATCGACGGTTCCTCGAAAGTTTGTTTCTCTATAGGAATGAAGGCTATCATAAAAAAATCACACACACGCACACACAAGCAAAGAAAGGAGGAATTAAGAATAAAAGTCAAGTCACGTTCCAGTGTCACTCTTGGTTAATCTCGTTCTAAGAGCCTGGTCAGCAACGTCATCTGAGATCGATTGGCTTTTGAAATTTTGCCTGCATGCCGAACTTGTTGCTCTGGTTTAAGGATTTCTGTCTTTTCGTTTCCACTAAAAGTGATCAGAAGACATGCAGCTTCACGGGTTGGCTATTTCTTTGGGACAATCTTTAGGGGCGACTGGGTTCAAGAACTTAACTTGGGAAACTTATAAGTGAGCGACATGCAAGAGAGAATACTACATAAGACAAAGCACTGATCTAAGAGACTGGATAGTGTAATACAAGAACACACAGTAAACTTGCCCTCCTTTTTTCCAAATAAAATGCAACAAGAGGAGTTTTAGTTTTTTTGAGGAAACAGAGTCGCCTAGAAAGAAATGGCTCTTTCTTACCATCTAAAATGCGCGTTCCCTGACCAAACAACCTTGCACGCTGTATACATCACGTACAGTACAATAACTAATGTGTCAAACGGTTTCATTTTCTTTCAGGCAAACCTTCTCTCCAGCCTCCAGTTGCACTCAAAGCTGGGTGTTCGTCGCTTCAAGCCTTTTTTACAGTTCTGTTCGTTTCTCTTTTGACTATGTTAATGATATAAGCAGTTACCTATGACGCACGGAATCTGCACTCGATGTTTTTTTTTTTCTGCAGTCATCATATGATGCTTAAACACACCGTAGCGGCAATACTTAGTTAAAACACTTGCTTTTTATATATATTTTTTCAAGCCAGGATGATTAGTGTCGTAAGTTGTCGAGAAGTCCACTTTTGATTTATTCTTTAGTCGTTTTCTCATATTCTTGGATAATGAAGTAATTACTCAAACTATAAATAACTTTGACTCTACCGGAAGGCCTGAACTTTCTATCAGCTCTAACAAACTTCTCAGAAAAAGTAGTAAGACAAAATTGGCTGCTTTCTATTTTCTTTACCCAGTCCACGGTTCAAGAGCCAGACAAAAAGAATCGAAGACTACTTCCTCAGATATTGACACGAAATCTATGAGACTTTATATGTTCACACAGCCCTCGACAAAGTTTCGACCAGCTGCAAATTTGACCGGGCACTTCGCTCAGCAACACACGGAACCGTTCAATATTTTAGCTCTATTCACACAGAACTCTTGAACCAGGTTAAATTTGAGTTTTTCCGGTGTTTTTACGATCGGTTCATATTCATATGCACGTTAATTTAAGCAAATCCAAAATGGAGTCTCCTAGGTGAGTTACTACAACTCCATGCAATAAGGCCTTTACAAAATTTAGACGGCTATATAATGTACATACCGTGCCGGTCATATTTTCGACCATACCTCGATTTTGGTGTTCAATATTTTGAACGGCTAAGCGTCTAAATTTTCGTACAGTTAAGATAGTTCCTGTGAATGGAACACCAAAGCGCACGATGCAAATTTTCTTTCGATGCCGTATGAACTACGTATACTACGTTTTGTCTTTTAATTTAGTTAGTCTTAAGTTAGTTGTGCATTTTTTCACATCGGCCAAACCAGACACTTCTCAAAAAAAATATTCTCAGTAATTCAAATTTCCTGGTCTCTGTAAGTTCAATAGGCCCGCCCTTTGATGTTCTCCTACACGGCCGCGAGTTGCAGTAACCAGAATATCAGATGTTCTGAGGTCTCTCTCTTGACTCCCCTTGCACAGTTGAGCAAGCAAACCGTAATGCCCTTATGTTTCGGTGTAAAAAGTCGAAGTTAAGTCCTGGCAAAAAAACCTCGAGATCCAGTGAGGAGATGTCAGAATCTGTGTTCACTTGCTTAAAGTTTTACCAATCACTTTTCAGAATAGTATAGTTTGATATTATTATTAGATAAATAGGGACGGTTGTACTGCATGGCTTTGTTTGTCTTAATAGTTAACATGGTGTTTTAGGAGAATTTCGGCGTTGGGTCATTTATAAGGACACTTTTGATAAAAACAAAAATAAGCGTTTTTGAAATAGACCTTATGCGAAGTGATACCAATCGTCTGCAATTACACATTCCAACTCTTTCCGATAAGACACTAACGCGTTAGCCTATCACGCTATTATTTAATAAGCAATGTAAAGTTCACCCTTGGTTTATATTAAAAATACTGTTGTATTCATCTTAAATTTTGCTTTGTCTACTACTGACCTCTAAACTCACTCTTTTGAGTGGTAAGATGTTTAGTACGAGATGGATCTAAAAAGAAACGAAGTTTAGACACCACTGAAAAAAGCTCCTTAATTTTCTGCCCTTTTGAAAGACAATTGCTGGTTTTGAAATGACCCCATCAAAGTTCAACATAAAGAAATTATCGATCCTTCTGAGTTTTTACTTTCATAAAATATTTGAGCAGCGGCGGAGAAAGCAGTTGTGTCTTAAAAAAATAACTTATTTTGAGGGGATTTTACTACATGAACAGTCATTGTATATAGATGATTAAAAGTATTATCTCAGTGTCTATAAGTTCCTCGAAAAATGAAATCACTCTTTCATAGCAAAACTCAGCGGTGACAGAAATTTCTGTTGGTTTCCGGTCGCCTTGTCGGTGCCCATCCAGATGGGCAACAACATGGCGTCTCCAAAGAAAGTTCTAAAAAGCGTTTTCACTCACGTGGCTAACAGCTGTGAATATTTATTGGAACAAAAGAAAGTGTTTGCATGAGAAAAGAGTAACTTCCACAGGACTGGTTTGGGACACCAACATGGCCGCCGTTTCATTGTTTTGGGACACCAAAATGGCCGCCGTGACGTCGTGTGAAAACGCTCTAGAAATTTGGGTAAATCATTACTCTGATTATTATACATTGTACTCACTATCTTTTTTCTCATTGGCTAAAAGCCTACAGCTAATTTTGAAAATCAGCGCAACCTAGAGGTAAGTTAGTTATCTGCTGGCAGATAACTGACTGATCAGTAGGTTACGCACGCAATGCATGACTTCCTATAACAATTATATCAATTCAGGTTCCTTGCGACGGTGTGTTTGTCGTTATTTTCTTACAATGTATAATAAAACAATTATAAGATTCGGTTTTTGTGATATCCAAAATAATCAAGGTCTCGGTAAGTGTGATCAGCCTCGGCCTTCGGCTCGGCTGATAACACTTTCCTCGACCTTGATTATTCCGGATATCACAAAAACCTCATCCAATATTTTTTTATTATCTCGCGTATGAAAAATTGAAATAAAAAGAATGTTCGCAAGGGTTTTCGGGTATTAACCTCTGATCACTTTCGAGATTTTGGATTTTATTTTTTGCGCAATTTTGATTCTCATTTTTGATGGCGTGAAAGTGAAAACCGGAAATTTTCTTCCCCATTTTTTATTATCATGGTATGTGAACACGAGCAACCCGAGGAATTAGGAAATTCTATTAATTTATTTTATAACCAACTAAAATTATTACAATCAATCTACTGAGAGTGATACTGAGTTCGAGTTCATTGGAAACTCATGAAGATTTTATTATATCCAAACATTTCAAAGTCACGTTGATAAATTCTTTGAAGCCGCAATAAATCTGTTCTTGGCAGCTTGCTATAATATTGTGCCAATTTGTCTTTGGTACTAGTAAAACGAACAGGAGGAAAAGAGACGAAGCGATCGACACCTGTGTCGTGTAAGACAAACCGAGCGTCCTCTTCTAAGGTCTCATAATGTCCAATAAAATCGTACTTAATCTTGCACGGATGGCACAGGTTGTCATAATGCTGCCAGTGCTCGTTATATGGGCCTCCTTTGCTGTTGACGTCAATCAAATACAGGATGAAATCAGAGAATTTGATTTCCTGTTTGTCCGCTAAGACACTCGCACTAGAACCCAGTCTCTCTCTGACTGACCACTGGATCTTTTTAGAATATTTCTTGGAAACATAGTCTGATTGTCTTGTGAATTTGTCCTTGTAGGCCGATAAGAGTCGCTCGAACGGATCTCTAACGAACATAAACTTGTAATAGTTATGTAAAATATAGCGAACCTTGGATTTTGAATAAGAGCCGAGAAGTGGAAAATGTTGGCTGTGTACAGATCTGTTGTTCTTAATTCCAAGCAGGTGTGCCATAATTTTCTTCCAAGTTGTACAAGCGATCTTGGGGATGTAGCAGTATAGGATCTTGTGCTTGTTATCAACTATGAGATGGTTTAGTAAACTTCCAGTTGGTAGAAACAAAGGGCTTGATTTTGTCTTTTTACAGTAAGATGATATTAGGAACTTGCGTTTCTCCTGTCTTGATAGAATGAAGGCAGCAAGCTGCAGTTGCAAACAAGGAAACAAAACTTAATTATTCCTTGGTTGTTGACATAACAAACCTATTTGGTAAAAACAATGCTCCACCTCTGATGTGGCCTGCGCTACAGACGAAACGTCTCTGGTTAAGTCCGTCTGCGAAACAGCACCGATGTCTTTGTTCTGGGCCCCCACTCGTATACCAGAATTTAAGTACGTGGTATGACTGGCCTTTTGAAAAAGCCATTGTCGATTTACCAATAAGAATGAAGGGAAACTCGAAATGGACTGCTGGTAATTCGTTGAGTCCATTGGGAGCCCGGAACTAACTGACCGATGTTAAATTACGTACAGAGTGTTTTCACATGACGTCACGACGGCCATTTTGGTGTCCCAAAGCAATGAAACCGCGGCCTTGTTGGTGTCCCAAACCAGTCCTGTGGGAGTTGAACTCTTTTCTTATACAAACGCTTTCTTTTGTTCCAATACATTTGCATAGATGCTGGCCACGTGAGTGAAAACACTCTATACGACACAGGCTATTACTTTGTTCGGCAGGCTATTACTTTTCTTACCTCAGATTTCGCCGACGTTGCCTCTACTATACCATCCGCCAAACGAAGGGAGGTTAAAGCTGAAAACCAAGAAAAATGTCTTTAAATTCAGTTTAAACAATATTTTGTGGATCTTTTTTTCGTCACCCGTCAAAGCTTTGCTGACGGATTCTTAATCAATTTATGCCTGGATTATATGGTTACGACGTCTTCGGCAGCGAAAACGTCACTCTAAAAGTGACGTTTCAAACTTCATCTGACTCTTATCCCATTTCATTCGATTTGTCAAATATTGGGGAATTTTTCTGGAATTAACTCTAAATGACTGTATCAAAAGTCATATCAGAAAAAGAAAAAGAAAATTGTTGTCTTTCGTTCACGTTCTCCATATAAAGTGAAACTACAAAGTTTCACGTGGTAGTCGTGCAACAAAGAAATGTACAAAAAAGTGTGCTCGAGTTGCAGTAACCAGAATATCAGATGTTCTGAGGTCTCTCTCTTGACTCCCCTTGCACAGTTGAGCAAGCAAACCGTAATGCCCTTATGTTTCGGTGTAAAAAGTCGAAGTTAAGTCCTGGCAAAAAAACCTCGAGATCCAGTGAGGAGATGTCAGAATCTGTGTTCACTTGCTTAAAGTTTTACCAATCACTTTTCAGAATAGTATAGTTTGATATTATTATTAGATAAATAGGGACGGTTGTACTGCATGGCTTTGTTTGTCTTAATAGTTAACATGGTGTTTTAGGAGAATTTCGGCGTTGGGTCATTTATAAGGACACTTTTGATAAAAACAAAAATAAGCGTTTTTGAAATAGACCTTATGCGAAGTGATACCAATCGTCTGCAATTACACATTCCAACTCTTTCCGATAAGACACTAACGCGTTAGCCTATCACGCTATTATTTAATAAGCAATGTAAAGTTCACCCTTGGTTTATATTAAAAATACTGTTGTATTCATCTTAAATTTTGCTTTGTCTACTACTGACCTCTAAACTCACTCTTTTGAGTGGTAAGATGTTTAGTACGAGATGGATCTAAAAAGAAACGAAGTTTAGACACCACTGAAAAAAGCTCCTTAATTTTCTGCCCTTTTGAAAGACAATTGCTGGTTTTGAAATGACCCCATCAAAGTTCAACATAAAGAAATTATCGATCCTTCTGAGTTTTTACTTTCATAAAATATTTGAGCAGCGGCGGAGAAAGCAGTTGTGTCTTAAAAAAATAACTTATTTTGAGGGGATTTTACTACATGAACAGTCATTGTATATAGATGATTAAAAGTATTATCTCAGTGTCTATAAGTTCCTCGAAAAATGAAATCACTCTTTCATAGCAAAACTCAGCGGTGACAGAAATTTCTGTTGGTTTCCGGTCGCCTTGTCGGTGCCCATCCAGATGGGCAACAACATGGCGTCTCCAAAGAAAGTTCTAAAAAGCGTTTTCACTCACGTGGCTAACAGCTGTGAATATTTATTGGAACAAAAGAAAGTGTTTGCATGAGAAAAGAGTAACTTCCACAGGACTGGTTTGGGACACCAACATGGCCGCCGTTTCATTGTTTTGGGACACCAAAATGGCCGCCGTGACGTCGTGTGAAAACGCTCTAGAAATTTGGGTAAATCATTACTCTGATTATTATACATTGTACTCACTATCTTTTTTCTCATTGGCTAAAAGCCTACAGCTAATTTTGAAAATCAGCGCAACCTAGAGGTAAGTTAGTTATCTGCTGGCAGATAACTGACTGATCAGTAGGTTACGCACGCAATGCATGACTTCCTATAACAATTATATCAATTCAGGTTCCTTGCGACGGTGTGTTTGTCGTTATTTTCTTACAATGTATAATAAAACAATTATAAGATTCGGTTTTTGTGATATCCAAAATAATCAAGGTCTCGGTAAGTGTGATCAGCCTCGGCCTTCGGCTCGGCTGATAACACTTTCCTCGACCTTGATTATTCCGGATATCACAAAAACCTCATCCAATATTTTTTTATTATCTCGCGTATGAAAAATTGAAATAAAAAGAATGTTCGCAAGGGTTTTCGGGTATTAACCTCTGATCACTTTCGAGATTTTGGATTTTATTTTTTGCGCAATTTTGATTCTCATTTTTGATGGCGTGAAAGTGAAAACCGGAAATTTTCTTCCCCATTTTTTATTATCATGGTATGTGAACACGAGCAACCCGAGGAATTAGGAAATTCTATTAATTTATTTTATAACCAACTAAAATTATTACAATCAATCTACTGAGAGTGATACTGAGTTCGAGTTCATTGGAAACTCATGAAGATTTTATTATATCCAAACATTTCAAAGTCACGTTGATAAATTCTTTGAAGCCGCAATAAATCTGTTCTTGGCAGCTTGCTATAATATTGTGCCAATTTGTCTTTGGTACTAGTAAAACGAACAGGAGGAAAAGAGACGAAGCGATCGACACCTGTGTCGTGTAAGACAAACCGAGCGTCCTCTTCTAAGGTCTCATAATGTCCAATAAAATCGTACTTAATCTTGCACGGATGGCACAGGTTGTCATAATGCTGCCAGTGCTCGTTATATGGGCCTCCTTTGCTGTTGACGTCAATCAAATACAGGATGAAATCAGAGAATTTGATTTCCTGTTTGTCCGCTAAGACACTCGCACTAGAACCCAGTCTCTCTCTGACTGACCACTGGATCTTTTTAGAATATTTCTTGGAAACATAGTCTGATTGTCTTGTGAATTTGTCCTTGTAGGCCGATAAGAGTCGCTCGAACGGATCTCTAACGAACATAAACTTGTAATAGTTATGTAAAATATAGCGAACCTTGGATTTTGAATAAGAGCCGAGAAGTGGAAAATGTTGGCTGTGTACAGATCTGTTGTTCTTAATTCCAAGCAGGTGTGCCATAATTTTCTTCCAAGTTGTACAAGCGATCTTGGGGATGTAGCAGTATAGGATCTTGTGCTTGTTATCAACTATGAGATGGTTTAGTAAACTTCCAGTTGGTAGAAACAAAGGGCTTGATTTTGTCTTTTTACAGTAAGATGATATTAGGAACTTGCGTTTCTCCTGTCTTGATAGAATGAAGGCAGCAAGCTGCAGTTGCAAACAAGGAAACAAAACTTAATTATTCCTTGGTTGTTGACATAACAAACCTATTTGGTAAAAACAATGCTCCACCTCTGATGTGGCCTGCGCTACAGACGAAACGTCTCTGGTTAAGTCCGTCTGCGAAACAGCACCGATGTCTTTGTTCTGGGCCCCCACTCGTATACCAGAATTTAAGTACGTGGTATGACTGGCCTTTTGAAAAAGCCATTGTCGATTTACCAATAAGAATGAAGGGAAACTCGAAATGGACTGCTGGTAATTCGTTGAGTCCATTGGGAGCCCGGAACTAACTGACCGATGTTAAATTACGTACAGAGTGTTTTCACATGACGTCACGACGGCCATTTTGGTGTCCCAAAGCAATGAAACCGCGGCCTTGTTGGTGTCCCAAACCAGTCCTGTGGGAGTTGAACTCTTTTCTTATACAAACGCTTTCTTTTGTTCCAATACATTTGCATAGATGCTGGCCACGTGAGTGAAAACACTCTATACGACACAGGCTATTACTTTGTTCGGCAGGCTATTACTTTTCTTACCTCAGATTTCGCCGACGTTGCCTCTACTATACCATCCGCCAAACGAAGGGAGGTTAAAGCTGAAAACCAAGAAAAATGTCTTTAAATTCAGTTTAAACAATATTTTGTGGATCTTTTTTTCGTCACCCGTCAAAGCTTTGCTGACGGATTCTTAATCAATTTATGCCTGGATTATATGGTTACGACGTCTTCGGCAGCGAAAACGTCACTCTAAAAGTGACGTTTCAAACTTCATCTGACTCTTATCCCATTTCATTCGATTTGTCAAATATTGGGGAATTTTTCTGGAATTAACTCTAAATGACTGTATCAAAAGTCATATCAGAAAAAGAAAAAGAAAATTGTTGTCTTTCGTTCACGTTCTCCATATAAAGTGAAACTACAAAGTTTCACGTGGTAGTCGTGCAACAAAGAAATGTACAAAAAAGTGTGCGGCTCGTGCAAAGTTGTTGTTTTGCCAATAAAACTATTGCTTTTTTTGCCGTTCTAGTTGCCGTCGCCTTCGTCGTTACTCAAGCTCCCTAGTCTCTATTTCACCTCAGTGGATTCCGATTCTGATGAAGCGGACCGGAAGGCTCCTCTTCCTAGCGGAGGACCGAACACATCTACAGTTTGGAAGAGAATTCATTGCATGCAGTTTCTAAGTTGTACAACGAGCACAGAGAACAAACAATGCTTTAAGTGGTCACTTACAGGAGGATGAAAACGATGAAAAATTCGAATGCTGTCATCGAAAAAGTAGTCGCGATCGCTTACGAGAGGTTGCAATTGTAGTGATTTCACTGGGAGAATTTTGGTGTTTTAGATGGGTGGTGGTTTTTGTGAGGTGGTCTCACATAGAGGTGCGACTGTATGAAGAGATACCAGACAGACTCTATCGCCAAACCAACTTAAAGGTGCCTGACTTGCTCATTTACGGACTAATCGGTTTATGAATATAGCCCCCCCCCCGTCCCCCCCCCCTTGGGCCCAAAAAACAACAACCAGGATGCCCCTTCAAGTGGACAATGTTCTTACCTTTTACCCTCTCTCTTTCTGCTGCAGGAAAGAAAAAGAAAACGGAGACGCCACTTGCAAGTACAAGACACGTAAAAGCTATTCTAATGCTTCCCATATCCTGTGAACAAAATAAATACGAAAAAAAATAATGATGATATGTTCAAGCATCAAACGCATGATTCAAAATATCTTATAGATTATTACTAATAGATTTCCCTCGTTTTCTTTGGTTTAATGCCCCGGAGTGAATGTCAGGAGGCTCGTTAGCCTTGGGCGTTAGTTTGTTGGGAAGAAAACTTAAAGTAGGGGGTAGTACGAACGCAATTTATTTTTGTTTACAGAATAGAAGCTTGTTTCTGGGACTGTCTCTAACGTTTATAGCCTGTATTTAAAAAGTTTTTAAAGCTTGTTTACTGTCGTATTTCCGCATTTAACTAATTCGTGATACCCAATCACTAATCAATGAATCTCGCACTGTAGAACCTTACTCGATTTTCAAGCGTGATCTATTCGAATCTATTGTTGAAACAAACAAAATTAAAACAGCTGACAAAACAGTGCGTTGAAAAGGATCAATAGAGTTTTCAGGTGTGAGTATTAAACCCATGTAGCCCGAGTTTGCGATCACTCTCGTAAAGTGACGAAATGTGAGTTCACATGTTGAACGGCTTCAAGATGTTTCCATCTATAATAACTTTTTCTGGCATTAATATGTAGATTGGGGCTATTTTGACCTAAAAAAATTGGAATTAAAGTTCTGAGCCGCGTCTGTATTAGAAATAAAGACACTATTTGAACATTTATTTCCCTCTTTTTCCCTCTATGAATTATTAATGAGTTTCTGGAGCTGTCGTATAGCTTAAGCGACTACGACCTATGGTCAGTCAAAATTGTTGGGACACTTCACTGTCTTCCCGCTCTCCCAGTGTTGAGGGGAGTACGGCGAGAAAGGAAAAAACAGCGTTCAGAGGAAGTGTCCCAGCTATCAGCTGAACTATTTTTGTCGAAGACTGTAGTTACGACCACTTTTCCGAATCTCCCAGGTGGTCGCTTACGAGAGCTTCGACTGTATTTTTGGTAAAGTGTGTCTCACTAAATAACTATCTTCAAAGGTAAGGGTTATTAGTCTCTTGTAAGATTACAGTCGACGCCAGATCGATATTGGAAAATAAAATTCAGAAACACTGTAAGCAAGTTTCTTCTAAGAGAATTTCAAATCAGTTGCCTTTAGGTCAAACAACCAATTGATCACTAAAAAAACAATATCCACTCTTTTTAATTTGTATGCTTATAAACAGCAATGAGCAGCTGTTTTCGATCAATCAGAACATATTGCCCCAACCAACATTTTGCCGCGTCTGCGGATTCTATGACTGAATGAAATTGAATATGTATAGAGTCGTATAATTTCAAGAAAGATTACTTTTCCTCAAAAGAGTATTGTTTGTCTTATTTTAAGATAATCCCTATTGTTACTCTTTTTTCAATTTCTCTGCATAATATCTACAAATTTTTCTAGTAGATATCAAAAAATATATGTATTGAGCTAAAATATTCGGTTTTGTTCCTCGGCTCGTTTCTTAAGTGACTAAAATAACAAAAACTTCAGAATGGGCTTGGAAGACACTATCTTTATTATGCCTTTATACTCTCTGTAAGGAGTTATATAGGTCCGTTTACAGTAAGTGAAAATAACGTCTAACTAATGATTCGCGCAAAATAAAATAATCAAAGGTTTTCTATCAAGTTTTAGTAAAATCCAACTAGTGGTCTATTTATCAATGCTGCGTTCTGATTGGTTGAGTTACTACTAAGCTATATGTTATAGCCCACTAGTAGCGAAATGGCGCCGGCTTTGAAAACCAAAACAATGGCGGCTGAATCGCATTTTGCTAGCTTAAGTTGTTGTCTCGATATTTTTGACCAACTAGTTGGATTTTGTTAAAACAATTATTCCTCTCCCCCTCGTGGCCTCTGAGTCAATCAGAACATTCGGCCTTCGGCCGGCCTTATGGGCTATTGACTCGGAGCCCATTCGGGCTCGAGGAATAATTTGGTAAACATTTTCAGTAATTCCTTTCTCTTTTTGACGATAACATTAGTATATTTGGCTTTAGTGAAATCCAGCTAGTGGTCTATTTTCAATGCTGCGTTCTGATTGGTTCAGCTACTACTAGGCTACAGTGCCGTAGCCAGACCAAACGGCCAACCGAGGCAGGCGGGAGTTGCTAGGGGGGTTCGGGGGCATGCCCCCCCCCCCCCCCCCCAAAAATTTAACTTTTTTCTCTCCCCCATACCCCTTTTCCCGGTTTGTGGGGGTTTGTCTTTTTTTTTTTTTTGTTTTTTTTTTTGAGTTTTTAAAACATAACAATAAAAAAAAAAAAAAAACATCAGTGTTCCGACAAGTCC